TTTACCAATTCACACTTTTGAAGAGGAATAAATTGTGTAGACGAAATAACAAATCTAGAAGTGAATCGTTATTAAACAGAATATTAGAAAATATTCGGTAACTGTATAACTGGAATATGAGAAATGCTGAAAATTGAAATGGCTACTTTTACCCCTTTCTCTCTAAATACACTTTTTACAAGAAAAATGCACCGTTCATAATTGTTTTCAATGAAATTTAGACTTCCTTGTTCTCTTTCCATATATAACATCTCTCCAAAAATATTGTACACGAAAAAAAAAGCAGGAAATGAATTATTTTTTTCTTAAAGAAAATAGTATTAGGAAAATCCCAATGAATTTTCAAAAAATTTCCATCAATTTTCAACTGCAGAATCTGTGGAAACAAAGAACAAAACAATTATTTATGTCCAAGAATAGGAATGGGAGGATTTGTTCTTTGATGTTTGTCAATATTTGATATTTGATGGTCGTCGATATTTCTGAATTAGATTTTTAGTTTAGGACTTCTTTTCTTAGCTAATATTTTCGAATTTTTAAAATTTTACAATACACATGCATAAATGAACGAGCGAAAATTTTGCAATACGTTAAAATATTGTTTATACTGTGTGAAATTTTGAATAAAATTGGTATTGTTTTTGTTTAGGAATGCAATTGGAAATTTTTCATGCTGGTCTTTTCATCCTGTTTTATTTAGGTTAGTGCGTTCTTGTCTTGTTTCACCAAGGTAAAATGCCTTTTCATCATGTTTTACCTGGATAAATACTGTTAGCATGCAATCAAATCTCATAGACTATTTGTATTTGGCGAAAATTCAATTGCGATTTTTTTTAAACTTACATTTCTCAAAAAATAAACTCAAATAAAGCTTTTCAAAATTTGAATAGATCCGCATTTCTACAAATGAACAAGTTTTTCAATCCTACGGGTCGTTCTTCTTTTCTCTTTCTCTCTTTTCACTTCTCCTTCCTTTTATTTTAAATAATATTTGAAATTTTCGAATAGATGATGAATGGTTTACAAAGCATTGTTTTTTCTTAACTTTTTCTTAAACGAAAATTAATGGTACAAGAATTTTGAATTTTTTTTAAATACTACTACATTTAATATCAAGCAAATTTTGTATCATACATTTTTTTTAATGCTACTATATTTAATTAAACAAAATTTTTTTTTGCGTTTCATTTCCATACTTTTTTTGTTTTTATTCATCTATTTCACTTCAATCGTAACAATAAATGCGGTTAGTACAAGCTATTAATGTAAAAATGAAAATCAATTTTACAGTAACACAATGTCTATTTAATTTAAAAATAAAATTATTATATATTTAAGGTATAAGTAATGCAGTTGAAACAATGGTTAATTGTACGGAAAAAGCTGGTACACATGCATGTTATACGTGTATGGGTAGAGATATGGAAAATTGTGAAACAGGTACCGTATGTTGCAGTGGTGCTTGCTTTAAGCTTATCGATAAAAGTTAGTAGCATTTTTTTTAATGATGAAAAATTATTACATTCCAGCATAAAGTGAATGAATGAAATAGGAAAAGTTTGTTCATTAATATATATATGTCTTTTTTTCTCCAACAAATATCATCCATAATCTTTGATTTCATTTGTTAATTCTTTTCCTCATCATTTCTTCTTCTTCTTTATTATCATCATCATTATTTCATCTCATTAAAATATTTGTAAAGAAATGCAAACGAAATATATGATGATGATAGTTTTTTGTTAGCAGAACAAGTATAATATCCCTTAGAATAAAATAAATGAAGGAATTTTAGATGATTAAATAATGATATCATTGATAATCATAAATAAATTATTGATTTTAAACATCACAAAATTGTAGAAGAGAAAAAAATTTTTTTGTTATTGTTTTTTTTTTTGGATAATAAAGATGAATAATTGGTATATTTGATGTCAGCAGTTGTCACTTTAAAAATAGATATGAACAAATGGTTCAATTAAATGGAATGGTCAAATGAGATGACATTGTGAGCCTTTTTCAGATGTAATTAAATCTCTGTTTTTGCAATAGCTGTAGCATCAGTAGATGTAATTGCACTGATCAAATAATCCTACTTTTGTTGATTTGAAAAGTCATAAAGAAAGACACAAATAACATCGTAAATGCTTGTTTACTTTAATAGTACAATAATTTTTTAAAATTTTTTTGCTAAGAATTTTTGTTCTTTTCTTTTCATTTTTTTTTAAGGTTTAGATTTTTTCAATCAATTTTAAAATTCCAAAGTTAAAAAAAAAACACAATTTTTTGAAAATTTACAGAGCATAATCTAATAATGAAAGGTTGCACAAATGAAGATCAAGAAGATGGTAGCATGAAAAGACGAACATTTGATATACGGTTATATTGGGTGCGCAATGAGAAAGTTACAGGTATTCTCATACTTTTTTTCTGAAATTTTATCGATTATTTTTTGCAAAATTTCAATATATTGAATAATATATCTGAAAATTTTCAAATGAAAAAGAATAAAGCTTTTTAAAAACTTCAGAGAATTTCCCTGAGAAAGTTGCATAAATTAATATTCTTGAAGATTTTATGCAATCACAAAAAAATATTACATCCATTAATTAGCTATAGCAAAAGTTTCTCTTGAATGTAAATCTTGATTAAATTTGAAGCACTTATTCTTTTTAAAAGCAAATCGGACTATAAAATTTCAAACTTTTAAATATAAAATTTATCAAATTAAGATTATATTGATACGATAATACTAAAAAAAATACGAAATTTGTTATGGAGCAGTATTTAGCACAGTAATTTTTACAGGTGAAGCATATTATTGTAAAGAAAGCGATTATTGTAATGCAGGTTCAACACAATTCATTCCATCTTTATTTTATTACACTTTCCTCATTCTAATCGCTATTTTATCATTTTCTCAATCATACTACTACAGTTGCTGATAAGAGCTGGAAATGTCAGACAAGCATTCCCTTGAAAGATGTTTCCTTCTCTTCTCAGAAATAGGCTAACTTTTTAATTTCTAGTCTATTATTACAGCTTCTTTTTAATTCTTAAAGGAATTACTTTTCCGTTGTATTTAGTTAATTTGTAAGACTGTTTATTTGGTTATTTAGATATAGAGAATAACATTTCTTGATATTGAATAGTGGTAATGTTCGAATGGATACGAGTGTATTGGCTTATATCGTAAAATTAATCATTAAATTATTGCATTTTAATTTTATCATTCAATTAGTCATTCATGATGTAATCTATTCAAGTCTGATTGATGAACAAAAATGAACAAATGTAGTGCATTAAAACAATTCATGGATAATTTACATTCAAATTAGAATATCTGATACACTTTACAGTGATGTCTCAATTTTTCTCCCATATATTTTTACACTTCAATTATCAGGAAAATCTTTTTTTTTATTCTATCAAAATATTCATTTGTTATGGAGCAGTATTTAACATAAACTCTTTTTCATGTATAATTAAATTACAAATTTTTGTACAATTGATACTTCTTCTTGCTTATAAAATTTATGAGAGCCATTAAAAAGCACGTGTATATTTGCTTAATTACTATAATTAAAAATGAAATATGTAAAAATTGTCACTGATGATATATCTGATGCCAAATATTAATGGAAATTTTAATTTATTTGTCGAGATTTTTTTTTTGTTAATCGGTGGATGTTATACATATTTGGCTAAATAATAAGATAAGAGGAAAAGAGATGGATTAAAGTGTGGAACAACAAATTTTAGTATTTTATTCAATCTAACAAATCCTTACTTCTCTCTTACTACAAAAAAATTTCTAGATTTATCGTTACGATCTGTTTCTTACTTTTGGATGGAATAATTATGTTAAAGAATCATCATAATTTGGAATTTCGCTTGAAAAGCATTACAAATTGTTCAATCCAAATCATTTTACTACTTCTAATCGTAACACCTTTAAAAAAACCATTATCTTAAATCAAATCAAACTAATTTCAAATGACTCACTCACCGGAAGAGGAAAAAGTGTTAAACAATATTTTTAAATCAATCAAATAACTGATAAATCTTAACAGTTTTATCATTATTTCAGTTATTATTTTATATTCGATAAATATAATCTTACCTTATGATCAAAATTTTACTAAAACCATTTAGAATGTTATGTATTGGACAAATAGACGTTAGAATAATTCTTTTACTTTCCACCACTACCGTAATATTTTTCCATGCATATTGAATTCACTGGAAAATATTTTCTTCTTCAAAAATTTGTAATTTTATATTGCAATATTTTTTTAGTCTTTTCCTTGAAAATTTTCGTATTACAATATTCTATTTAAAATTTTTAAAATTATAATCGTTATTAGGAAGTCTAAAAATATTGTTAGACATACTGAAAATAAATCATTAAATGTTTATCGCAGATTGTAAACACAGAATTGATTCTGTAAATTTTTTTAGTTATATTCTACTCGCACAAAATTTAGTGGTTAGTTTATATATATATATATATATATATCCTATTTAATACGGTAATATATAAAAACGTAAGTTTCTTGTAACGTTAATAAAATTTTCTATCAAATTTCCATAAAATATTTCCATTGTATATGTAAATGAGTGGGAAATTCAGAAATGAAAAATGGTGAAAATATTTTTGATTTATTTGCTGCAGTACGAAGAAGCATTCTTCTTGTGCAGTACATATTGATAATTTTTTATTACTATAGAATTAATTCTCATCGATTAAATTTCTAGATGCAATCTTATATTTGTTAATGTTAAAATGTGTAAAAATCGTCCATTCATTATAGAAAATGGAAAAAAAAGTATTTATATCATAAAATTTATCCAAACATGAATTCTTCTTAAGTTAATCGTTGACAGATGAAATTATGAATTAAAATTCATTTCATATCATAAAATATCTATGATATTGTTTTACGCCGTTTGTTATCCTCTAAAACATTTCCTGAATCTTACTTCTTTCTATTTATCTCATAGCTTTTTAAAAACGAAAATAAATAAAAAAAAAAAGTTAGACGAAATGAAAAAATTAAATTATTGAAAAGCTTTAGATTAGTTTATTTATAACGTGTTATACTATTTTATAAAATTTACATATTTTGATTTATACGATAAAATCTTAGTTTACATGTGAAACAACGAATGAATAAAGTTTCAAACATTCACATTCTTCGATTTAATTTACAAATAATTCTTAATGGACGATATTCACATTTTGATATAATTTTTCATAATAACACTGAACTGACCTTGCAACAAAAAGTTTTTCCATTTGAAACAATAAGAAAGTTGTTTAACTTGTTAGTGTTTGCATGATTTCTTGCATGCTAATAATTCACATATCAACAAATAGTAATTCAGCCTATTGCTCACTAATAGTTTAGATTTCAAAATTATCAATTTTAAAGCTATACAGAGATGAATAATGATGCATATTGACGAATATTGAAATCAAATAAACAGACAGCTGGACAAATACGAAACTCTATCCGAAAAAATTTAAAAAAAGAAATTTACGTAGGATAAACATCAGTCACTGACTTCATATAGCCGAATAGAATATATTAATCTCATTTATGCTTATTTATAAGAAAATTCTCAGATCTTATGCTATAAGTGTAATTGATCCGGTTAATGATGCTTGCGCACAGTTCTATAATTTCCCCAACTTAATCATACTGGTAAGAATTATCTAATACAGTTCAATATGAATTTTTTTTTCGACCGAATTACTTCATTTCCAACCATTCGTCGAGTACTTCATCACCACTTGTCATAACTACCCAAAGTAATACTCTCCTGACATTTGAGCATAACCATGCTCTGTTGTATTTAGACATCATCCAATGGTGATATTTATTTCCTACTACAATGAACTTTTCAAGTTTAATTTCATGAAAGCAATAGCGACTGCATTGAATTTATTTCAAAATTAAGATATAAGTATTCATCGGCTATGTCCACATACAGAAACAATTGTTCATAATTGTCATCTAAGCGAAGATTCTTGAAACAAATCCATCGAAATGATTTACAAACAGCAAAATACAATAAGAAAATGTTTGGTTACTATATTTGTAAAATATTCATCAACCAAGTAAGGATTGGAAAATCAAAAATAACATTATACACTTACTTCACAGAATTTCGAAAGTTTTTTTTTTCTATACTATACATGTCATTAGAGATACATTTCAAAAAACAGGTGGAGTAGCAAAAGCTGCAAATTAACTTTCCACTGGAAATAAGTCAAATTTGATTCGTTGAATCAAAAAAAAATGTTTGTTATTTGTTAAATTCAAATCTTTTATGACTGTCGAACGATAGAAGAAATTCTCCAACACTGTTTTCACAATAAATTATGTAAATAAAAAAACAAACAACTGAATATGGCATGTTTTCATGAGTTAAGAAAATGCAAACATTAAAGCAGAACCCGTTTCCTCAAACATGATCTCTACGAGCAGCAACAATCTTCATATCAACAGGTGGAGCATAGCAGGCAAGTTCTTCATCGGATATAAGAAATGAAGTGTCTAACAACTGATCTACAGCAAGTACTGTTGCTGTATCATTATCAATATGTTCTAATGCATGTGTTCGATCTTCACTTTTATTAGTTTTTTCAACAGATTCCGCTATCCTTTCTTGACGACGACTTATTATCCTATCTACATCAATCTGAAATTCCTTAAATTTTCATACTAATAATACTACGACCTTATAAATAACTAATTTTGATACTCTGATCGTATTATCCTTATAACTCGTAATTTAAGAGGATTCTTAAAGTTAAATCATTAGTAACTTTTGGGGATTTTTCCCTCAATTAAAAAAAAACACATAAAAATATTACCTGTTCGATAATGCCATCAAATGCCATATCCAATGATCTGGATACCAGATTCGATGAACTGACTGCGCTTTTCCAAACAAGTCTATGCTTCCTGAACATGAGTAAAAAGTTTTAAAGTTCGACTAAATTTTAGAAAAGTACAATAATTATGAACAAAATACACACTTTTTCGAACAACCTATATTTCGAAAAAAGATTTAGAATTCAAGAAAAAAGATTAGAAAATATTAAATTTTAGAAGAATCACCTGAGAATATGAAAACAGCTGAGGGTAAGCAAGGTGATCACAAAAAGAGTTAAAAGAAGGAAAAGAACAGCTGCTGCTGCATAAAATATTAGCAATAAATCCATATGAACATTGTACTATCGTTACACTGAAATATAACCGTGAGAACACTCAATTTAGAGAACATTCAATTTTCAGACCAGTCCATAATTCAGGTTTTTAAGCTATGCAACTATCACGCTCATTGCTAATAAAGAATTTCCTAGTAACACGAGGAGTGAAAAACATAAATTACCATGACCTAATAGGTCATTTTTATCAGTTCTTGTGTATTACCGGCCATCTATCATCTAGGACTAAGATTGTGTTTTATCGAAAGGAATTTGTATTGGAATTTTGAGGAAACCTCACGAGTTTCATATGTGTCACTGCTACTAAGTAAACAACAGCTTCGCTACATAAGCAAAGTTGAAACGTCAGTTAATAAAGAACCACGATCACTGGAGCCGCGATATTATTCAATATAATGAAATAACTTCAGTGATATGCCCAGCAGTTAAGTTACATTGTTTCGGAAGATTAAAGCGAACCTTGGTGTTATAAACGAACGATTCTACCCGTCAGAATAAAACGAATCAGCATATTCCAGGTTAAAATCAGGAAATAAACAACAAGACCCTGCTTTGAATAATAGCATACTTCATAACTAACAAACTTAGAACAAATATTTTCCAGTTACATGCACTAAATCAGTAAATGAAATGAATGCACATAAACTTTTTATTCAAGTATAATAGAGATTTGTCAATACACTGCAAACTTGAAAATTATATCAAAAAATACAATGCGTTTCGTTGTTAAATCTGAAAGTACTATGAACTCATACTATACATATGCCAAGTTACTATGCCTAAACAAACTACCATATTTTCAATTTACATCAACAAGGAGGGAGTGTTTTCCTCCAGAAATTTCTACAATTTAGTAAAGACTTTACAGAAATATATTATAATACAGAATTAAAGAAACAAAAAAGGACTACAGAATATCACAATTAATCGAAACATACACAAAATTATCATTTTTGAAGCTCGAGGAATTACATTTTCCATGCGCAAAAATTGGCTAGTGCAAAATGTTTGTAAAAAATGAGAAAACATACAAGCTCTAATCAAAAGATAAACGAAACAACGAGAAGCAGAAATAGTTTCAACCATGCTTACATATTTACTCGTCATTCTATCCTACTACTCTAACATTAAGCACATTTTTTTCAAAGCAATATTTGGATATGATCATTCTATTCGGATGAAGACAGTTCTTAAGCACATCAACGTAACTGCAGTGAAGTGAGGTTTTTTGAAGGGCAAACGAAAACAAACAACCCATATGATCTTTGCGATAATCTACTAAAAATAAGATACAATACAATAAACGATTCCACTGGTACACATCTAATAATAAATGCTGGATAAATATGAAATGAATACTGAATAATATGAACATCAGAAATCATACCTTATATTTTTTGAAGCATATAAAACATAAATAGAAGATCTAAAATTTCAAGAAATTCTCCACCTGACATTTCAAGCAACAAATGAAGCACCATCACATTAATTAAATTAAAGTAAATTCGAAAAAACATGCATGAAATAGTACATGTCACACATGATAAGGCGGAAAATGAAATAAAAACTTTACACTTTATACCATCTAAATGATCAATTGTAAAAAAAAAAAAGAGAAAACCAGTACTGGAAGTTCGGTAAAGGGTAAAACAATATAAGTGTGAACTTTGAAGTTAGAGTAGGAGAATCATCTAATGGTTATAAGCTCTAAAAAAACTGTACACCCTAAATGCCTAATCTCGACAAAAAAACTGCCGCTTTCAATTCCGATTTGCGAGACATTTTGAGAAAATGCTGAAGATTTGGCAGAGAATGACAGTATAAACAAGGTGGACATAATTACATTTCATCATTACTCTACGTTAATATACATAATGATAAAAGTTATATTCACTTTATTTACTTTTTAATTTAAAGCTATTTTACTACTGTTGGAATATTTTTGGAGCATATCTTATTTACGTAAATTTAGTTTGACATAAGGCTTTTTTTTCTTCCCTCAACACTTAGTGTACGACCAGATGATGGTAACGGTGTTGCATAATAACTATCAAGATACATATGAGATATTTCCTCCATCAGGTCCGGCACAGCGGATACCATACCTTGAAAACAATAACAATGAAGCCGTGAAAAAATCGAATAACTAATATACCAAAAAATATTATCTTCCTAAAATATTGAAGACGATCTTTTGCCTAATAAAGGATTATAGAGTATTTCAAGAGTCAAAACAAATTTAAATAATGCTGACCGTAGACCGCAGCAGTTCTTGACTGGTGACTAAATTCGGGATTTGATACCAGATCTTCGCATGCCATGTTCAGTTCACGAAGGAAATTTTCCACAACACCTGACTTCGTGTGATTCAGCGTAACGCACATATGAACTCTAAAAGAATATATAGGCAAATTACACAATATAAAAACGAAATAAAATAGTTTGCAGTTTACTGAAACATTTAAACTTTCTGACTCAAGCATAAAAGTTGAATATAATTACTTACGCAGGTGGATTTTGAAGAGTAGATAAGAACCATCCTAGTTTATTCATACGATCCGCTAAGGCATACACGTTGAGACCCCTCGTCGTAAACACAACAGTTGTAACATCTGATTCATACAACAATTGTATGTGCGAACATTTCTCAATGCCCATTCGTATTTCACGTACTGTATTAATAATTGCCTCCGTTCGTTCTGCATAGCTGAAGAGCAAGATAGCAAAATGATTAAATATATGTTTAGATAAAACTGAAAACTGTTTAGATAAAATGTTTAGATGAAACTGAAAAGAAGGACAGAAATATAGAATATGAAAAATTTCCAATAAACTCTCAAACTATATTCTCCTCTGTTTGCTACCAGCTGACATAGCCATACGGCACTTACATCTTAGAATGTAGGAAGAACACAGCAATCATTACCAACAAGATCAGAAAAAAAAAACAACTCAAACCTTATAATGTAAGTTCTCTAGTATATTATTTGTAAGTGTTGGTTCTTGTTGGCAATAATCGCCTGATCTTAATCTATAGAGAAAACATAAATACTTCGGGTAGTATAAATTTAGAAATGTACACAAATGTTGCCTTACCCTTGTCTTCCATTGTAAAGTAAAGTAGCCCATGTTAAAGCTATTGCACATCCATCTTTGTTACCAGCTAAAGTAGGTGTCATATATATGCCACCAGGCCACTCGCTGTTGCAAAAATACTGGTGATGAAGCAAAGAGGGGTCGCGGTACAAGATCAGCGATGTTCCTAATATAAACAATTTTTCTGATGCCTTAACTTACTAATCAAAAAATTCATATGGGAATTGAAATGTAGTGAAAAATAAAAATAAGGAAGTTTAAATCACCATTTGGAGCAAAACCATATTTTTGGATATCACAAGAAATCGATGTCACACCAGGTACACGAAAATCGTACGATTTAACTGTAAAATCACATCGTTCCATAATAGAGAGAATAAAACCACCAAGAGTTGCATCAACATGTAAAGGAATACCATATCGTTGGCTCAGCTAAAAAATACATTCAAGGTAATATCCAATAATCTTCAAGAGTTTAGAAACTATTGAGCGATTACCTCATATTAAGTAGTAATTAATCGACAATCCATGCCAATCCTTATAATTAAAACAGTGAGGTACGGCTTAATCTATGTAGGCGAAATGCAAGAATAACTTGGAACAAGCACATAAAAGTAAATATGAGACCGAAATAATCAGTACCCTAAATTATTTATTACTGGTAGCAAAAGCTTCGCCAAGAGTATAAAAAGTACCTCAGAAATCGCTTCTATGTTGTCGATAGTACCGAACGAATAGTTCGGAGCTGATGCCACGAGCTAGAACAAAATAAACTAAAACATAACTAGTAAAATGTGCATTTTTTATAAGTGATGCTAAAATCCATTGATCTGGATTTCCGAAAATTATAAATAACAAACATACCATACAAGTTTCATTACTGATAGCGCGTTTCATTGCACCTACATTAACCCGCTGATTTTTATCGACAGGGATATGGCGAATACGCATTTGTAATACTTTCGCTGCTTTATCGAATGCAACATGAGCAGTTACCGGTACCAACATTTCTGGATGCCTAATTCCACGAGCAAATGCGCGATTCCGATAAGCTAAAATGTTGATGCAAATTGCACAGAACATTTAAAACTTTGACAACGCATGCTTTTCCCTCCATAAATTTTCCTTAAATTATAACTTCTCTGCTTTGTGGTATTCACACCAAACTGAGTAAAGAAAATACTGATTACTACGTTTCTTGTCTTGTAAAAATCGATGTCATCGATATTACATTGTACAGATAAAATTTAAGCATTCTGTACAGACGAAAAAATAACAAAATGACAAAAAAACAGTAAGACCTCGCACATTTAATACAATATATTGATTTATAGAAAGTAAAGAACACTTACCGAAACATGCCAACATGTTGCTTTCTGTATCATTGGAAGTAACTGTTCCACAAGAACTAGGGCCGCCATGAAGAAGTGACGCAACGATGCGCACAATTTCCGCTTCCATTTTCCGACAGCCGGGAAAAAGATCAGGATATAAAGAATCCGAATATACGAACAGCTCAAACATCTGTAAAAAACAATCAATTTACTGGACAAATCCCATCAGAATTTCATTTCAAATTAAAAAACAATCAAATAATTTCACTTGATAACCTTTTGCAGCAACGCTCGGTGCTCTTCATCAACATCTGCAAAAACTACTCCGGAAACGCGGCCTTCGTAAAAAGAAAATTCACTCATTGTTTTGTATAATTCTGCTTCACGAATTATATTACTAATCGTAAGCCCACGCTCAGGCAAGAACTTGTAGAACTCCTGGAAATATATCAAACTGAATTAGCAGAAAATAGTGAACTTCGGTATATAAATAACATCAAAAGATATCAACACATCAAGAAATGGTTCAGAAATCTTTCATCATCTTCCTTTCATTATGCTTTTTTCACGTAAATAATTAGAATACTTCATCTCAGTACAATAACAGAAATATCTGAACAGCACGAAAACAATTTTTGCCGATGTACCTTTCTCTTATCATATTGATGTATTGTCTCTTCAAAATCCCTTCTTGCCTTTTTCATTTCTTCTTTTAGTTGCGCATTTATCCACGGCAGCATGCGAAATGCGGAAAAAATCTGGAAAGAGTGCATAACTTAAACAAGAATTTAATGTAAATAAAGTATCTAGATAATTTCTTAATTGAAAAAGTAAATTGATTAAATACAACGAAAAAAGTACCAGAGAACGAATACGGGCAGAAAGAGGACGGTCTGCTTTTAGCAGTTTCCGTACCCAGATGAAGAAGCAAGTGACGGATAAAGTATACGAGACGATTTGCCAGGGTTCCAGATCTACACATGCCCGGTTGAATTCAACACGACCATCATCCACAATTTGCGCAACTAAACGCCAGGTGTATCCACCATCCAATGCCCACCATTCATTCATTTATAACTGCGTCCTGAAAACATTGGAAATGCACGAAAACTTCTTGCAAATCTGGAAAACTGATCAGCAAAACTGCACAAAAACTACTAGACTATGTCATATGATATAACATTTTTTTGAGTTTGTCAACGTTTATGCTGTAATAAAAAAATTCCGCCTATAATTTACAGCGACCCATCAAGCATTGTACTTTGCTACCTTCTGTACTTCTTATTTGCACAGATACTTATAAGTAAACAGAAAAAGAAATGTAAGTCTAAACAAATCAATTCAATATATTCTAGATGTTGGTAAATCCATGCTATAGAATTACTTTCAATCTACGTGTCAAGTAATTTTATTTCTCTATCAATTACCTTTTTTTAACTTTCTAACATGGCATTTACAAAAATATCTCTCCTAATGTCTAAACTATACTATGATCTACATACTCTCATGTATATTACAAGACATCATTCCAGATACCATGATGTCAAGAAATACATCGGGCTGTTACAAAGTGCAGACCAAAAAAGATTTAATTTAAGTTACAAAGCATATAACATCATTGATATACACAAGCCAAGTGCAGAAGACATGGAAGTACTCGATCCCATTCCCACAACACACCACAACAGCATCATCCCGTACCAACTCTCACACTTCCTAGCACTGTTAGTGTTTGTTTCACCGTTATCACCGGTCTGCCGTAAAATACTGGTGTTGAAAATAAATCTGAGAAAAGATTTGAATTTAATGAGTGGAAGGTTGATGACATGAAGGTGGTGGTATACTTCTGATATGCAGAACAATTCAAGCACAACATCGAATTAAAGGGAATGTGCACATCACAACTACATGATACATAACGCAGCAATCATTATCAACAAGATCAGAAAAAAAACAAACCTTATCATGCAACTTCTCTAGTACAATTATTTGCACGCTATAGAGAAAACATAAATACTTCGGGTAGTATAAATTTAGAAACGTACACAAATGTTGCCCTACCCTTGTCTTCCACTGAAAGTAAAGTAGCCCACCCTAATACAAACAATTTTTCTGATGCTTTAACTTACTAACCAAAGAATTTATATGGGGATTGAAATGTCGTGAAAAATAAGAATAAGGAAGTTTATATCATTATTTGGAGCAAAACCGTATTTTTGAATAGTTATGATGATCCTAAGAGTTGCTGGATATAATGAGGAAACACCAATGAATAGTTTCCCAATAAGTGGAGGATTAGCTTTTAAATAATTAATATAAAAAGAAAATTAAAACTCAAAGTTACTACTATTGTAAAAATTTCATACTTGGAAATCCTGGACTGAAAACTGAAAATTCCCGACTTATTTCGACTTTCCGCTAGTTATGTCTCGAAAATTAAAAAAAGAAAACGACAATGATTTAATCGTTTCTGGTGCAATTGTAGGATGATAGATAAAGCGTATGTAATCCAGTCCGAGAGTTTTTGTTGTCAACTCTGCAAAGATCACCTTTGGATCTGTTTATCTGGTTGAGGCACTATAGTCTTACCTCTTAATTGAGAAAAAGAAATGATAGCACGTATCAATTTTAGAAACCGCAGAACAGTTGAAAAGCTTTTGGAGATTCAAGATCTTCATGCTTTTATTGGAAAGCAAGTTGTGACGTTACATGAGACATTTTATTAAATTTATTATCTGTTGCGATTACATTCGTTATACTAATTATCAGATTTTGTCAGATGAACTAACTATAAATCATACTGCTAACAATTCATTCTGGTAGTCCACTATTTTTCACAGCAAGCGTCATTTCATCATTTTAAAATTCACAATACATGAAGTGCTTATTCGATTGCTTGATGTTACTTCATGAATGGAGTTGTGAAGTTAAGTTGCTTTTAAATTAAACAAAGCAATGTGAAGTGAAGTGAAGTGACATTTTCCATGTAGGCAGTCTCATCTCATTACCTGAGGGCATTAGGGCACAACATATTCTTTTACCACACCATTTATTTCTCTTCATTTTGATGCGGAGAAACGAAAAGTTAACAGGAAGAGAGTGACCCGTTGACGAAAATATTATTAGTTAACAGATCACTCTCTTCTTTGTAGCAACTCGTTCTCGTCCAGCCACCGAACATCCGTTCCACTGCGAGAGTGACACAACACGAATGAAATAGGAACACCAAATGGACTGAATGTCGTCAAAACGGTTTCTAGAAAGACCCGTTATGAAAATTGTTTATATCTGCGGGAGCTATTTGTTTAATTGTAGGTTAGATTTCGGTGAGGTTATAATAAGTTGTATGGGAAGTATGTTGAGCTAGAAGATGTCTTTGTTCTTAATCGTATTGTTTTATGTCTGCAAGTAATATTTGTTTGTAGGATAAAAAATTTTTACACACACTTCAATTCTCTATGAGTTATCAAATTTCCATTTAACTTTAACAGAGATGAGTCAGTTAGTATTTTTACTTTTAGACTGAACTATAAGTTTCATACGACTTTTAATTATTGTTTTTTTTATTTCTCACATGTATTTTCTAGTGTTGCAAGTGATATACATATTTTTCAAGCAGAACATTCTATAATTTCTTTTATTTGCTTCATCAACCATTATCATATCTTGAAGTTTCGTGTTTTTGATACTAATTAGGAGATTTTTCCTGCAATCTTAAATTCAAATACTAGGCATGGAATTACATGGATCACTTGCCGGTGACGCTTTGGAAAGTGCTGCAGACTATGTACAGCGATTCATACAAAAAATTTGCGAAGATTCTGATTTGTACTATAAATTAAAGTACGACCCATACCAACCAGGTCAGTTCTTAAAAAGTTGTATGCGGTAGATTGGATTCTAGTAATATGTTTGATGTCGTGATGAAATGTGTGCGGCAGTTCTATATCGTTTCTGGAACATCAGAATCAAATAGTTGAAAGATTGAGAAAGTACATGTTTGTTATAGACAGAATAACAATATCTGGTCTTGCAACGGGAGATTACCAACTACTAAATGACTTGGATGTACCAGAATTTGTTTGTGGTCATTTGAACCCAATTCCGCAGGAACTGAAGGATCAACTTAACAGTAAGTTTGTTTTTTAAGTGCTGAATTTAATTTCTTAGTATGTTTTCGTATCGATTGATAAGTACCTTAACATATTGGAATATAAATAGTGGCGGCTTCAATCTGCATATTCCTTTATTATCCAACGGTCATTCATGCTGATGAATTTTATAGGTACACAAAGCATTTGTACAATGGGTATATTACCCGAAATTGGACGTGCTTATATGACAATTGATGCCGATCTGTATGTTTGGAATTATGAAGACAAGTGAGTTTCTTGCTTATTTTATCTTTTCCTGAAGTAATTCTCAGATATCGAATAATTAAACAATTTTACCAAAACCGAATGATCAATTACTGTAAATTTGTCATATTCAGTTATTATCATGCTTTTACTTGCCATGAAGTAGAATAGCATAACATCAATTTTTAAATAGGTGTATCGAAATCAGTCTATGGAACACGTTCTTGGTCTCTCTCAACAATGTAGGATCTTAAGTAGAAAAAATTCCTTTAGCCAACCTTCAAGACGATATTGTACATAAAGTTGCAGAGCGGCTCGGAGAGAACAATTTTCTTCCTAACTCATTTATATTAGTTTTCGATACATTATAAATAGAATTTATTAGACTCTGTTTTATTTACTTTCAGTTCGGATTTAGCTTACTTCGATGGCATATCTGATACAATTACTAAAGTGGCAATCGCGAAACCGAAAGCTGGAGTGTTTCAGGTAATTAATTGTAGCAGGGTAGTTGTTAACATCTGATCTAGGTGGTTGCGGGACTATTTCACAATTAAACTTAATAGTATCATCTGTTCTCTTGTATTTTTATCCTCCTATAAGTATGTCATCGATTTTTTGGATGCATGTTCACTTTCATTTCGTGATCATATTGACGTAATTGTAAGGAATAGCACTCATCATATATTTCTTCGTACACATTTCGAAACAAATCTGCCATCTTTTGCTTAGCACTTGCCTTAATTTATTTTATAATATTTTTTGATATTACAAAAGAAACAGGATTACATTCTGCAGTCCTGTCTGAAACTTCTATTCTTCAGCTGTTAATGTAATAATTTCAGAAACACATTCATTGCTTGGTTATTGTAGCGACAACAAAGGAAATTGTGTTACTGGCAGCAAGCTTCACAAATAATAATATAACAGTCAGAGATGTGTCCTCTCTACCGGACGATTTCAAGCAAGCTGATATGTATCTCTTTCCAGATGCGCTTTTCAAGGTTTTTTTTAATGGATAATTATACTCATTTAAACCGTTATTCCTAACTATTCCTTCATTTATAATATCTTATTGCATGTACACTACTTCTATCGTTTCCATTATTGGATATGTTTGCCTCAAAGGAAAAGGACTTTTTTATTCGTTACCAAACATTTTAGAAATACTTTATACTTAAGTTCTTGAAATAGTACCACCAAAATTGGATAGTTACATCTTCATTTTGTTTACGTTTTATTTATTTTATTACAAGAACAGGGTCGTAGGTTTTAAAGTTTCAGATTCCAATTGATGACACAGCTATATCGGATATAATTGCAACATCAAATGGTCGTATTTTTTTCACGGAAGAGGAAATTTTATATGAGCTTGATTATCAGGTCATCTACAAATTTTAGAATTAGTAGTCCAGAAAGTGTTACTTTTCTTTTTTAAATATTGAATTCACTGTATTTTTCATTTTAAACTGTTGTGTATATTTTTTTTCTTTATTAATTTTCTTTTAAGTTGGTTAAAGGAAATTGAAGCAAACCTCTTATCCCTCCGTCGAAAACTTTTCGCATTTTTCAGGACAAAGGCTGGTTCAGTCGTAGATGTCGCAAGATAAATCATTCTAAAAGTTTCATTAGTTATTTTTTGCCTTCCGTATCTTTGATCACAGGGAAAGAAGGTAACATTTCACGTAGTCATTACTTATTTTTTGAAATTTT